TATATATTAAAATTTAAGATTTAATTATTTTATAATTATTTTATAATCATTGTACGTTAAAGAATACTATAACAACTGATATTCTTATTGAATTAAGGAATATTTCATTCAAGAGTGAAAGAGAAATTCATAACTGAAAATTATATTATTAATATAGCAAAGCTATCAATAATATTTTATACGCGGGAAAAATATAAAAACAGCATGATAATTAGAAGAAAATTTTATTACATAATATTTAACAGAATCCAACTCAATGATTCCAGTTATTATGTCACTTGTATATAAGGAGTTCGTTATATAAGAAAATTTCCGATGACGTATCTTGTTACGCCCGGAACTGCACATACTTGACGCGTATGTTTCCTTCCACTACGTCGTCAGGTTTTCTTCCATCAAATTGACATCCACACCCAGTCGCGTATAATCGCGACTCGTAGAAAAGACGGAACTCTGTGGCACCATAGTTCACACTGTTTACTCTATTCTTTCATGTTTGTCGCAATTAGATGTCGTAAATCGAGTAATACAGACCATAATTTATCATAATCACCTGCCCGGTTGATATAATGGGGTCCATAATGAACCCCGTCGACTTCACGCACCTGCGAGACCTTCTGTGCACGTTTCGACCAAGGTCGACGAGGCGGGTCTGAGTTTAAGTATCGCTGATTAAATATTCATGCCAAACACGTTTATACCTCCTGTAGATGATTTTCTCGGTTCTTATACATTTCAATGTTCATCTAATGTTAATTAATTAAATATTGAATCAAGAGTAAATTATCAATGTTATACGCAATAAATTTAAACGTATAAATTTTTAATAAAATTTAGGGAGTAACCATTTTTTAATATAAGCGTGTGATTGGCACGTTGATTGCGTTATAGGCTGTCCTCATTCCAGATTTTTTTCTATAAACTCTGAATTAAAATTTAATATTAAAATTAATCTTTTATTAGAAAATCTCTTCTCAACTATCTTTTTAATTTTCACAATCGATCTAAATATCTATTATATCCCTTTATTTACTTAATTAAATTGTATTAAAGTAAATTTAAACTAAGAATTGCGTTATAATTTAAAAAAAGAATGTATAAACGCTAAAAATTTTAATTATATCCAAGAAATGTATCCAAAAAAAGAAGGTTATTCTTTATAAAAGCTAAATATTAAATCTGTGTACATATCTATGTACGTATCTTCATAATAATATATTTAACATACAAACTTATGGATCTAACTTATGGATCATATTTTTAATTTACAGTCGCATATCTTTAAAACAATCCTTGACTCATGGATGTCAAGCATACCAGAATTTTATGATCTACTGGATGACATAGTGGACTCCACTTTAAAAGTTTTTGCAGTTGTACACAGCGAAATGTTGCCAACTCCCAATAAATCACACTATACTTTTAATCTTCACGATGTGAGCAAAGTGTTCCAAGGCATTCTTATGGCAGACGCAAAAAAAATTTTAGTTAGTATATTTTTTTTATTATGAATAGAAATTACATAAAAATAAATCAAATAATAAAATAAATCTTATTTTCATTCAAAGCGAATCTCAGAGTGTTTAATATTTATATGCAAATTTGCAAATACATTTTTCCGTTCTGTAAACTATGTTGTTTGTCAGACTTAAAATGCAATCATAAACTGAAGCTGAAAATAACA